AGTTGGACTAATTGAAATGAATTTTGCTTATTTTTTTAACTTTTAATAAATAGTCGAATTATTAGTCAAACTATTAGTGTTATATTCTAAGGCTTAATTTAACATAAGCAAATTTTAATTTAAAAACGAGTTGATATGATGTTGTTTGTAGGAAGACTTTCTATATAGAAGCAGTCGTAGCATAGTAATATGCATAAACTTCAATAATTTCTCTTTTTTTTTTTTTTTTTTTTTCTTTTTTCTGGTAAAATTATATAGCGCCTTAGTTACCGTTAAATATTTTTGTATAATTTGCTGCAAATGATGCTAAAAATTTCCTTCTTCCTGTCATTAATTGTTGCTGTGCACTGTCGAACGGTTGGTTTTCGGTTTTTCGGTTGTGAATATTTTCTTATGCTATTCAGTTTATTTTTTTTTTTTTTTTTTTTCAGAATTTTGTTGAAGTCAGAATTCTCGTATTTAAGCTTGGGGTTTATTCTCATTTAATCCCTATGCAGTCTACTTTTTTTTTTTTTATGAACAGAAGGTATCCGATATGAATGTAGTCTGAATTTTACGTAGTGTAAGCTTATTCAGGGTTGTTAATTTTTTAAAAGTTTATTTGAATTTTTTGTACAGATGATGGAAATAGAAAATCCAGTAGGAAATATGGACAACGAACAATATCGTCAAATGAATGGCAATGAGAAATCGGATTATCTAAATGATGACGGTAAAGTTAGTAATGATGAAAGGAGAATGGCATATGATGGTAAAAAATATAACAAAGGAGAAAGAGATGATACGGTCGAAAGTGTCAAGTCAGAAAAATCAGATGTTTCTGCTAAAAAAGAAAGCGGACAGTTCGTTTTTTTTTTTTTTTTTTTATTCAAAATAAATACGAAAATGCACTTATTTCTTTTTTTTTTTTTGTGCCTTAGACTATAAATTTGTTGTAGCTTAATCATAAAAAGGAGCAGTTGTTTTGATAACGAAGATACTTGAACTTGTTCTCAGTGAGAAAGTTTTTTTTTAGAACTCATGTAAAAAAAGAACGTGCATCAAGGTCTCATTCTACTTCATCAAGGCGTCGTCGTCGTCGTCGCCGCCGGCATTCTTCTAGCTCAAGCGCGCACACCGTTTCTACGAAATCGCGCTCGCGAAGCCGCTCGAGATCACGTACTAAGTCACACTCACGTTCTCGATCACCACGACGAGCTAGCTCACGTTCGCGTTCACGCTCGCGTCGTAAATCATCTAAGAAAAAGGCTCGTCGTACCTCGCGCTCCTATAGTCGTAGTCATAGCCCGACGCATCGTCGCAAGGCATCACGGAGTCACAGCCCAAGACGTCGTCCCACGCGTAGTTCGTCATCTTCAAGTCGGGACACTTATGGTTCTTTCAAAGCTATGAGGTAGATTTTATTAAGTTAATAAATATTTTTAGGTTATTTGAAAAGAGTATAAGAGCAGTTGAGTAGAACATTGAGATTATGGAACTTGTGCTTACTGTTTAATTAAGTTAGTGTAAGAAGATTTAAGTTATTGTAAAAGCTGATATAGTATAATATGGGTATTTTATAGTTGAAGTGCTGTCCTAGCAAAAGCAAATTTATTTTTTCTAAAATTTTTGTATTTTTAAAGCTTAGAGTATGAACAGCTGTAATTGACTTTTCAGTTGAATTTGTTTTTCAGTTGTTTCTCGTTTGCATAGTATTTTAACTTTTTTTTAATGCAGTGTTGTGTTGACGGTGTTAGTTGTATCCGATTAGTCCAGCCTTTATTATTATTATTATCATTGTTCTTCGGCATACCCATCCCAACGGTCTTATGATGATGGCAGCGGCTATACAAGCAAACACATACACACTGGTGCTATCATTATTGTTATTACTATTCTCATTATGATTGAAATTATTCGCAGGTGAAATTATGTTGTAGTCTAGAGATACTATGCAAAAATGTTCAATATTATTATATGCGTAGATAGCACTTTAAAAGTATCATTTTTTTTTTTTTTTTTTTTTAATTCTATTTTTCTAAATTTCAAGTTTATTCAAGCGAATAACTGTTGGGAAAGATGAATTGGGGACCAATTATGTTTGTGTGTCCGAATGTCTTATCTTCTTAATATTGTTTAACAGTTTACATTATCTTAAATGTAAATTGTCAAACAATAAGGGATCGATGAATTGATGTACCTCTAACACCTGCAAACGGCAAAAAAAGTGCCATTTGAAGGAGTGGTTTGAGAGGAATTATACTGTAAATCACTAACATAATTGTCAGTGCTTTTACAATGAATATAAACCATTTCTGCTTTTAGCTGCAGTTGGTTTATTCTGTTTAAATGTTACTGAACAACTGGTTTTCAAATACAGACAGACTGAAATATTTAAGAGATGAATTATGAAAATGATATGTTCCCTTTAAAAACATCATTGTCTGCCTGATTTGATATTTTTCTCCTGATAAAATGCTTCTCAACTTTTTAATTAAATCCCAGAAATAAATTTGTAAACCTTATTGATTTTCACTAATTTTCAGCCCAGCTCGTCCGGTTTATGAGTATCCGTGCCGCAAATGTGATCGTGATTTTGAAACCATTCGAGAACTGTGCGAGCATGAAATTCGTGCTCATGGTGCATGCTTTCCATGTCCTCATTGCGAGAAGCAAGCATCAAGTGTGCAAAAACTTTGCGAACACATGAAACGACGCCATTCCGACTATCGTTTGCTGTGTGATTTTTGCAAAGATGATTTTGGTGGGAAAATTAGTGGTGCAAAAGATTCAAATTGGGAAGAATTTCGCGATCATATTTATAAGGTTTTCCTATGTTTCTTATTTTTTTTTCTTCAGTATTTTAGGAATTTTCAATGACATAATCATTTTGCTGTTTCTAATAACTGTATGATATTAAGCTACTGTGATAAGTCATTCGAATTATCTTTATCAGTACGATTATTCCGTATTGTTTTTTTTTTTTTTTTTTTTTTTTTTTTTTTTGTTTCCAATAGTTACTTTTAATTTTTTTTTTTCTGTAGGAATGTTTAAAAGAGAAAATCTATCTCGCTGATCGACAGCGAGGTCGTTCAGCTGGTGTTGCTCAGCGTGGCCGAGGTCGCTGTCCACATGGACCGCCAGTGAAATGCAAGTATGTATTTTTTTTTTTTTTATGTGACTGCTTCTTTTGTACTAAACGGTTTCTTTTTTTCTATTTTCAAAGCATTTTATGTAAGTTTAGAGGATATTTGAACCTTTTGTTTTCCATTTTCAGGAATTTTCCGAACTGTCCAGGAGAGAAATGCTACTATTTCCATGGTTACTGTCGTTATGACAAATTATGTGTCAAAAAGGAATGTCCATTTGACCATACGGATCGTCCTCGTATTTGCCTGTCATGCCTTAGAGACTACAAGGTAAATCTGGATTTCTTTTTTTTTTTTTTTTTTTTTTAATGATTCGAAATTTATTTTTTTGTCCGTTTTTAGAGTAAGAGAAAAAAAAAAAAGAAGGTTCAAGATGATAATTTGACAGCTCTCTAGTAACATAAATCTTAATTCATTCTATTCACAAACATGTAATTAATTTTAAGTACGAGAGAACGATTTCAAAATCTAAAAGAAATATAACTAGGTTTAAGAAATTGTAACTTTTGCCTGCTTATTTTTCCTTTGTCAAATGTGTTTTATTTCACGGTGATTGAAGTTTTCTAGTAATCGTAAAAGGATTTTAGAACTAATATTTTCTCATATTTTAGAGACGTTTTTAATGGGATGCAATCCAGTCAAATTTGTTATCATCTCAGAAGTTATGATGTTGATCTTTTGGTAGTGAAGAAAATTTTTTTTCGATTTCTTGCAAATTTTTTTTTTCTTTTTTGAGGTATACTTTTAGTGCATTTTTCTGTTTTTTTTTTTTTTTCATTTTCAGTTGTATCAATAATGATTGTCGGCGTAAAGTTTTCACTGTAAAATGTACTGCTTTTTTTCTGAAAAATGAAGGAATGATATTTCATTACTACTTTGAACATTTCATGGTGATAATTTGCCAGCCAAAAGAAATTTTTGCTAACTTCATAGCACTTGTGTTTTTCGTTATATATTATTTCACTTATATGTTTAATCATACGATTTATTGGTTTCTTTTTTACTTGGAAAATTTTCGAGATTTTCAAAGAATTTCTTTGGTAACGATTTAATATTTCCGGTTTCATATTCTTTTGGTAGACAAAGTCTTTTTTTTTTCTTTTGCGTACGTTTGAGAACCCGTAAAAATGTCTCAGAATTATGAATAATACTTCTTATATTTTATTTTTATCTCATAGTAGCAATAAAACAAACTTTATGTTTTGGCAAATTAAAGAGTGTTTACTCTGTAGTTGGAAACAATTTACCTCCTTACATTATTAATTTAATTGTGAGCTATTTACTGTTTCATTTTTTACAACTATTAGAAGCTTTTAAATTTTTTTTTTCTTTTTTTTTTTTCTTTGGTATCCTATAGCTTTAAGTTAAGTTTAGAATTTCTGAAAAATGGTAAAAAGCTCTTTGTGAATTGTTCTTCAATTTCATTTTCATCTATCATTGTTGTATTGTGATGAAACTGTTAAATAAAGAGGTACAAAAAAAAAAAAAAAAAAAAAACGAGAAAAGAAGATTTGTCATTATAGCAGAATGGAGCAGATCATATGGAAAAAGACTTTTCGGCACCATTAATATTTACTTAAAGAAAAAAGCGAAACTTTTATTAGTGATAAAATGAGTGGAAGTGAGGGGATTATTAATGAAATATTTCAAACTTTTAAAATATTATCAGTCTTGAAAAGTAATCAATATACATTCTAAATGAGTGCAATGTTAGCTAGCTTCATTGATAAGTTAACTCTCTAATCTTATCAATTCGTAATGCAAAGTGATAAAGAGAATTAGTTTGTTGCAGAGTAGTGAGAAATGTAAAAATGAAAAGAGTTTTATCTACACATAGTGTAAATAGATGTGCTATTGAGTTGTAAATGTGTAATGCCAACTGGTAAGCCAACATATCGTCGTAATATCATTGATGATGATAATAATGATAATGATCAACAACAATCACGTTTTCCGGATTTCAAAGAACCACCACCACCTATTATTCCGGATAATATTGAGTATAAATTACACGTAACTGGATTACGTAAAAAACGACTATGGATTTTGTTGGTATTTTTAATGGTGCTAACAATTATTACACTCATCTTATTGATTGTAAGCCTTTTTGCATTTTGTAGAAATAATTTTTTTTTTTCTTCCTCTTTTTTTTTTTTTTTTGTGATAATTATTAATTTTATTTATTTATTTTTTTGGTTAATGAAGTTGAATTATTTTTCAAATAAATTTCTAAAGTGTTGATAGATGTTGATGGAATTTCTAAAGTAATATTAAAATAATGACGATGAATAGATAATATTAAAATATAATGAAGATGAGTAGTTCATAAACTTTCGTATTATTTCGTATAATTTATACTATTATTGTATATTATAATTATTATTATTATTATCACCATTATTATTTAAGTAATTCATAAACTTTCTTTAATTTAATTCAATTTAATTCAATTATTGTTATTATTATCCATTTTTTTGTTAATCTTATTATTTAATCTGATATAAGAATTCAAATATGTAATAATTGTAGAAAAATAAATAATTATTTTAAGCTAATCCATCGATAGTTCGTTTTACTTTTTTCTAATAAAATTTAATTATTTCATTACAAATATTTTCAGTTAAATATTTTCATTGTTCATGTGTTGGGTATATCAACGAGAGGTATGAAATATCTTCAATTCCATAATCGATATCATCCAGAAAATGATAAAGATGATGTTGTTTTGCAATTCTCAGCTAATGAAATTCATTTGGGTAAAGTAATTGCAAAAAGTGGTACTGTTTATGGTAGTGCAGGAAAAGATTTGGCAATTGTAGGTTCCAGGGTAAGCTATTTCAATTTTTTTTTTTTTTGAAAATGATTTTTAGAATTTAAAAAAGAAAAAAGATTTTTTTCTTCTTTTTTTTTTTTTTAAATGTAAATGTAAGATATTTTATGTTAATTATTCAATGGATTTACTTGAAATATGACAAATTGAGTGAACAGATAGTGTTATTTTATACATATAATAAGTGACATTAAAATTATTTTAAAAAATTATCATTCAAAAATAATATTATTAGGTTTTTTTTTTTCTCATTTATTTTATTTTTAATTTATTTTGCATATGTTAATTTTAATTTTATTAGTTGATTTCTCTAATTTTTATTTGATTAATATTTTTACATAGAATTCAATAGAACTTATATTTAATGTATATTTTTCTCCCTCTTTTGAAGTTTTTGTCTGGAAGAAGTGTAACTAATCATAAATAATTAAACTATTCCATAAATAATTCAAAAAAAAAAAAAATAAATAAATAAATAATAAAAACATCGTAAATTACCAATTACAAATTAAAAAATTACTTATAAATTATTTGTTTATTTATTTTTTAGGTAATAGTTAGCAGTAAATCAACGGAAAATCGTCTAATACTACAGGATGGCATTTGTCGTTTCGAGAATAGCAAACAATTTACCGTTTGTCATTACAATCATTTATGATTTATTGAAATCATTAAAAGAATTTTTTTCTTAAAAAAAAAAAAAAAAAAGAGCTAAAAATTTAAAGCAAAAACCTAAAATTAATTGATTAATTGGTTTGAAGAAATAAAATGTCAAAAAAAAAAAAAAAAGTTTTTGTTAAATTAGTTATAGCTAAGTGAAATTTTGCAGATAAAAAATACATTTCGATCATACTTCAATGCCGAACGACCATTATTTCGTGTTGACAAACGAATTAAGAAAATATCAACTGCTCAAATTATAACAGATAAAGTTCATTCTTTCTAGAATTTTTTTTTTTTGAATTTTGATCTGAAAATGATTTAAAAATTTGATCTAAAAAGTAAAGAAGTAAATCTAAAAATGATCTTTGTAATACTAATTCTAAATAAGTAAAAAAAAATTACTAAAATGTTTTAAAAAAAAAGAATGAAATTCTAATTTCTTAATTTAGATTAAAGATTGAAAGATTAGCTCTGCTTAAAGCTAATCTTTCAGAATTTCATACTTTTTTTTTTGAGCTGAAATAATTGAATTGAAATATTTAAGGAAATTTATGTATAAATAATTTATTTCAATAATGATAGTTTGAATTTTGTATGGCTTAAATAACTGGTCAAATAAGATGAAGAAAGAATAGCATTTAAATTTGAGTACAATTACAGTCTCTTAAATTTGAATATAATTATGATATGCTTAATTGTAATTTTTTTTTTTTAAATAATTATTATTATAGAATTAAATTTACTTAAATATATAAATGCCCTATAAACATACACTTAAATATGTATATTTTAAATATACATTCAAATTTTATAATTAAATTCAAATTTGTTTTACAACTCAATCAAATGAAAATTAATTCGTTCTTTTTTGAATAATTTTTAGATACGTTCACCGGTCAATGATAATTTATCAGTGAATGTGATTAATTTGGGATTACGTGGTAATGAAGGAATACATTTTGAGGCAAAACGAATAAATTTAACTGCCGGAAATGGTATTTCAATAGGAACAACGGTATGACTAATTAATAATTTTAATTTATTTCAGTTAAAAAAAAAAAAAAAAAGGAAATATTCTCACTTATTTTCTTTAATTCAAATTACAAACAAATACGCTTAAAAGGTCTATTTTCTATTTTTTTTTTTTTTATTTGTGATATTTCTTTTACAGTAACATTTCATACTTAATCTTATCAGAACTGATCTTATCAATTAGTGCTAATTTGGAATGTTTATTTATTTATTTGTTTTTTTTTTTTTTTCTTTTTAGCAACGAATGCGAATGCAAACTTTTTTCATAATTTTTAACTTTTTATAGCTATTTTTGTTGAAAATTTTGTGCTAATTTTAAATTGATCATTGCTAATTTATAATTTCATTTAGCTGTAACACTTTTCTTTTATCACAAAGATCATTGAGAATTTCTTATCACAAAGGTTTTATCACAAAGATCATTGAGAATTTCTTATCACAAAGATTATAAAATGTAAAATGAATTTAGCAGAAACCTTTGATTTTTTGTCACATAACTTTGATGACAATTTCAATTTTTCTTTTTTTTTTTTCTTTCAGACTGATGGCCTAATAATGTTTTCAACCAAGAAACTCTATTTTGGTAATAGTCGGAAAACACTACCGTTAAGCTCGTCTCCTTCATTAACTGCTTCAATTGATGCTTTACGAGTTTGTGTTTGTATGTCATCAAAGCCTAGGCTATTTGTTGTGGCCGGTAATAAGCAATGTAATGCACCGCAAGGCTTCTGTAATTAATATATAATAATTTGAATTGTTTGAATTGTTTTAATTGAAATATGATTAAAACTTTTAAGCAAAACATTTGAATTAAATGCAAATATCCATTAATTAATTTGTTCTCTTTAACTTATATGCTAGCAATTTATTGTTTATTTATTGATTAATTAGGAACAATGTCTATCGTTTCTAGAAAAATTGTTTTAATTCACTCCAAATGTTCAAATTTAAATTTACAATTTGTTGATTGATTAGCTTCAATTTTAGGATTTAAGCAAGCAATATTGTTTAATTATCAATTATATTTATATTTTAATTTCAGTACTTTTTTTTTCTTTTTTTGTTATTAACAAATGAATAAGAAAAGAGAAATCTGCATTGACTGATAGTTTATGTAAACAAATTTAATAATTTATTTTACATAAATTTTAAATCAAAATGAATTTCAACATTTTCACACTTTCTTAATGATGTAATTGCAAAAGTTATTTTTACTTTTAAAATGTTATACTCTTTCTGTTCTGAATTATTTATAACATTTATAAAGTCTAATTGGCATTTTTTTGTTTGTCCATTTTCAGAATAACTTGAACTATCTCAAATAGAGCTTATGATAATTTCAAATTTCATTTATTTTATAACTATATTGTAAGTGTTTGCATTCGGATTTTTGATTATACAAAATAAATAAGTAAACAAATAAACAAATAAATAAATAATTGGCATAATTTTATCATGAAAAAGAAAAAAAAAAAATCTAAAAAGAGATTGGAATCGCTTAGTGAATGGATGACAAATGTTTCATAGGATGACACTGTGCTCTTTTTCGTTGGACACTTGCTGGTCAGTCAATATATTGTCATCTTCACATCTGTTTTGTTTGTATGACCTCTGACTCATCCTCTTCTCCTGGAAAATTTCATTTTCTCTTTAAAAAATTAACTTTCTTTTTTAGTATTATGCATATTTAATCGAACATTTTTACACATAAATATCAAATTAAAAGCTTAGAGTTTAATTTGACCTTTACCTATTGCTATCATTAGTGAGAATAAAGTAAGTAAATAAAGAAGTTAAATATTTTAATTATACACATAATGAAGTACTGTTCAACTTACTTATTACTTTGTTACTTTATAACTTACTTATCACTTCGCTGATTATATCAATTTGATCAATTCATTCATTTCAAACTGATTGCATTAATTATTGAGCAAAAGAATTTATTCATGAAAATTACATTTTTAATCTTTTTAAATTGAATGAAAATGTTATGAAAAATAATCATTTTGTTTAGTACTATAAATAATCAAATTTAAAATTTAAAACTTAATTTAATTTTTTTGTTTTTATCATTAATGAGAAAGTGAATAATGTTTCCATCTTTTTTCTTTTTTTTTTTCTTATAAAATGTAAATTTTTAATCGAAATTAAGTCAAATCAAAAAAAAAAAACGAAAATGTTTAAATCAATTTTATTGTATATCATAAAATTTTAATTTCATCGAAATAATCAATAATGAAAATTTGTTGAAATATATATATTTAATGTTAAAAGAAATTAAATCACACAGATCTATTTTATCACATTTAGGTATATTCGCTCTTTTTCTTTCTCATTTTAATTTCGGCGCTTTTGTCATCATTAACATTTGCGCAATTTATCTGACATTTTTATTTTAAAAAGGCTTTTTTTTTTTCATTTTTTGATTAATGATTATATTTGGTTAATATTTTTCTAACATTTAGCATTTTTCTCTTTTTTTTTCTTTTTCTCTCTCCTTCTCTCTGTCTCTTTTCGTAGATAGAGAGAGAGGGAGATTTGGTTTTTTTTCTTTTTTAATGAAAAAAAAAAAAAGAAAAATAAAATTGTTGTAATCCCGGAGAGAGATATGGACATCAAATTTATCATTTTTCTCATCTCTTTTTCTTCATCCATATTTTACCTTTCTTTTTTTTCTCTCTCTCTCTCTCTCTCTTTTATTTTCCCCTCTTTCACTTCTTAAAATTTCATTTTTTTTTTCTTTTTTATTGGCTATAACTGTGACATTTTGATTGTCACATCAATTCATTGATAACTTTTCATCGAAAGTTTATTTAAAGTAATATAAATTTTTTCCATCAAAAAAAAAAAAAAAAAAAGAACTTTCATTGAAATTTAATAGTATAAGCAAACAAATTAATAAAATGATTTTTCATCCCTAATAGTTAAATATTTAAAAAAAAAATTATCAAATATATGCCTAGTTAATAAGATAGGACAAGTAGCTAAGCTATTAAGGATAAAACAAATATTTTTATGTAAAAAAAATTTTGCTCAGTAAAAATTTTAATTATTTTAGATATTTGTGATAGGAAATTAGTTAGCACATTTATCTGTTTATGTCTTTATTTCAAAAATTCATTTTATTTATAATTTAAATTTTGTTTTTTTCTTTTTTTTTTTTTTTAATTTTTTCCCTTGCCTAAATATGCTAATTTTTGTATCATCAAGAATTCTCGATTCTAACTTAATCATTTGAAATAATAAATGAATTTAATGCAATAGATTGTAAAATTATGAATGTTAAAATAATAATTTTTCAAAGAAGGAAACTTTTCCGGTTATCATATTATCAGGAAAAAAAGTTTATTGGCCAACAAGTGCTAATGGAAAATAGTGGCAATGTTTCACGTGATGATGAATTACATATTACTAACGTTAAACTATACGTGGAATCAACGTATGCAAATGGTCAAAATTTAACTGAGCAAACTTATCCGGCATTATTAATCCGGTCACAGAAAGCAATTCCGAAATTAGTGAAATATCTTTATAGTCATTTAGCTTCATATTCCTGTCATACTGATGAGAGCATTCCTGATATGATCATTTCGTTAATTTCCGATGAAAATATTATTGGTTTACAGGTAATTAATTCATTTCATATCTCTGAAATATTACCTTTATTATTAATTTAGATTTGACATTCATACAAGTAAAAAAAAGAAAGAGTTATTTCCTTAATTATTATTTAAATTATAAACAAATTGTTGTCATTTTTTGATTTTCCCACCTTTCATTAATCTTTCGATACTTAAAATCTTAAAAAAAAAGCATAATAAACAATCTTTATCAAAAAAATTTATACTTTTTTTGTAATTTTTTCCTTTTTTTTTTCTTCCCTAAACCTTTAAAATTAAACTGACAACAATTTGACCTTTCAAGTTTTTAAATAATTTTATTAGAAAAAAAAAAAAAAAAAAAGAAAACAAAACGATTTGTTTATTAATATTTTCTTTTCTATTCCTTCACATTTTGTAATTTTTTCCTCTTTTTTTTTTTCAAAAAAAAAAGTGTCCAAAGATAATGAAAATGAAATAAGAAATATTACAGAAACAAAAACAAATTGAAAAAGGTTTATCAAAAATTATTTTCAATTGTAATTCATGGCTGATAACATCAGGTAAAGCAAATGATCCATTAGCATGTGTTGCTAGAAATATTATCTATGCTAAGGAATCATCAGTAAGTTAAATTTTGAAATATTTCCTTACAAAATTTACAAGTATTTTTTTAAAAAGAAAAAACTTAATTTTCGTTTTTTTTTTTTTTTTTTTTTTTTTTTTTTGTATTTTTTGTAAATTATAAAATTAATAAAATTTGCAATATGCTATGAGTGTATAATTAAATATGTAAATTAACAATGATAATTTTGTTAATAATAAATGATAAATTTAGAATTTAACAAATGTTGATACATTGCTATTAGTTATCAATGATAATAGCTGTGTGATTAATGATCAACAATTGTATCATATACCAATGATTGATATTCAATGTAAAACAATTTTAATTTTATGGATGGAGCAATTATTTCCAATTAATAAATTAGCATTGTTTAGAAGTATCATTGCAATGAAACTCTCAATACAACCACCTGGTAAAATTTTAAAAAAATTAAAAAATATAAAAAAGTAGTAAAAATTTTTAAAAATATTTAGTTAAAAAGTATGGTAAAATTTTTCAAAAATATATGATAAAAATAAACGATAATTTCTCTTATCATACATATCATTCCATTCCAATAAGAAATCACTAAATGAGATTATATTTGAAATATCACAGAATAATATCACAAAATAGATAACATTATAGCTAATTATCATATTACTTATTATTACTAGTATTATCAAGTTAAAACTATCATATAACTTATTATTACTAGTATTATCAAGTTAAAACTATCATATAACTTATTATTACTAGTATTATTAAGTTAAAACTATCATATAACTTATTATTACTAGTATTATTAAGTTAAAACTATCATATAACTTATTATTACTAGTATTATTAAGTTAAAACTATCATATAACTTATTATTACTAGTATTATTAAGTTAAAACTATCATATAACTTATTATTACTAGTATTATTAAGTTAAAACTATCATATAACTTATTATTACTAGTATTATTAAGTTAAAACTATCATATAACTTATTATTACTAGTATTATTAAGTTAAAACTATCATATAACTTATTATTACTAGTATTATTAAGTTAAAACTATCATATAATTTATTATTACTAGTATTATTAAGCTATTTTACGCAACAATAATAATAATTAGTTTTTCTATAAAATTTTTTAACTTATAGTAATAATAATAATAATTAATTTTTCTATAAAATTTTTTAAGTTATAAATAAAATAATCATGAAAAATTTGTTATAAATTTTTTTAGCATTACTAATTGATGCACCACAAAGTGATAGTAATCTTTGCTTATCACCACAGACAGCATTGTTATCACCTAATAAATATGAAAAATTACCTATTGCTGTAGCATTATTTTGTGGCAGTGAATTAGCATCAATTGCTGAACTTCGAGCACATTTACAGTGTGGCATATCAGTGATTGTTTTACAGGTAAGTTAAATTATACATTTAAAAAATATTTTATCAAAACTTTTTTCAAATAATCTAAAATAATTATTGCATAATTAAAAATAATAAAATGATAATAAATAATC